TCAGATTCTAGTTCAAGTATTGCATCCAAAATATTTTGTTCTCATAACCCGTGACCTGCCATTTATATGCTCTATAGTTTTCTTTACGGTAACATAATACAAGATAAAAACATAAATGTCACAATGCAGCACAAAATATATGTTTTAGACACTTAGCAAGTTACTGATAAGTAAACATGACTCACGTAAAGGATACTGATGAGTAAATTTGACTGATACAATTTAGTACGTAAAGGGTACCGATAAGTAAATTTTACTCACTAACTTTTTTTTTTTAAATTGTCCACAAGCGCGATACATCAAACAACACCATTCAATGCTTGCCGGCAGCCGACTTATGACAGAGTGGGACAAGCACTGCTAGTGACTTGACTTTCATTGTGGCCAACCTGCTGATTTACGAACAAATCTATTTCGTATGTGAGTACATTTTACTCACAGTACCCTTCTAGGGTTAACTGTGAGGCGATGCGCCACTGTTTACCAAGTGCGCAGGGTTTCGTGATGACATCGTTGACGGCTGGCGATTGCGATGTATTGGCAGTACCAAGCAAGAAATGATTCGGAGTGAGCGGTTCATCCTGATCCTATGATAGCGGCAGATGTGTGAGTTGACAATGTTCTCGGCTTCAATTAATAAACTCTGTAGCGTGTGCTCGCGAGGTGCAACTTTCTTTAAAGCTACATTGAGGACACGCTTTACACACCTTACCATACACTCCCATATGCCACATTCTGCACAATTGTTCGGACAATTGAATATCCATTCAACTCCTTTCAAAGCAAGGTCTTCCTGAATGCGATGACAATCAAATACCTCGGAAAATCCCTTTCCTTTATTGTTCGCTCCTACGAAATTCTTACCGTTGTCGCTACGAATCTTTACTGGCATACCGCGACGATTGATAAAGTTTCGAAGAATGTATGCATCAGTCGAAAGATCGGACTCAACTTCCAGGTGAATCGCTCGCGTTGTTAGACAGGTGAACAACGCCACACATCTTTAATCCTTACGCCGACCAACTGTTACGTTGAGAGGACCAAAGTAATCAATAACTGTGTTAGAAAATGGCCTCACCAATGGTCGATCTGTTGGTAATTGACCCATCATTGGCTATGCACTTAGAAATTTTACAAATAAGACATGTCGATATGATCTTTGACGAACCTCACAAATAGCCTCCACGTTCTGATGTTTCATCCGATTATGATAGTCTAGTAAGATCAAGCGATTGAGATCATGATTTGGTGCTAGGATAATAGGTCGTGTGGCATCATACGGAAGCCAGCTGGCAGAATTGATACTTCCGCTTACACGCATAACACCTTCTTTGTCGATAAACGGGGAGAGTGTGTATAACTGAGACTCCTTCATCACATTTCCAACTTCTTTCAATTGAATCATATCACAAGTGAGTACGAGGCAGATTGGGCAAGGCGACATAAGGAAATTTCGGCTACTTTTAATTCCTCGGGGGTCAGGCACCCTTCACTTTTTTATGGCGACACAAATCTATAAATCGGATGACCCAGGCGACCGACCGCTTTAGTTTAGTTAAACTTGGGAATCTTGTCATGTCTATAACACATGACGGCGTGGCTAACATTACAAATTTCGGGCAAAGCTCTTCACACCCTTCTAACAGATCAGGGATTCCTTTAAATATGGGCCAGGCTTCTTCTTCTTCTGTTAAAAATGACGGTCCATTTAGCCATCGTGAAGTCGGATGACCGTCGAATGTCGCACTTGGCCTTGTTGCCTCATCAGCAACGTTCTCCTCTGACGGTATCCAACGCCAGTCATTAGCGGCGAGAATTTCTGCGACACGATGTGCTACGAATGGCTTGTAGCGACGTGTTTCCGATCCAATCCAACTCAGAACAGTCTTGGAATCGCTCCACAGCACGCGTTTTTTTATTGCAACTGAATGATCCTTGACGATAGTCTCTAGCAGTCGTGTTCCTAAGACGGCTGCCTGCAGTTCAAGACGTGGAATAGTCATTGGTTTTAGAAGAACACACCTCGTTTTGGCACATACGAGTACGACGCAAACTTTGTTATCTGTATACGTTGCTCTGCAGTAGGCTACGGCTGCAAATACATCTTCACTGGCATCTCGAAGATGTGAAGTCGCACTTCCGTAGGTGGTCCATGGGCGAAATAGTGACGAGGGACTCGAAAATTCAATACTTTTTCAAACTGGCGGCGCCACTTGTCCCACTCTTTACATACAGGTTCGATTCGCGCATCAACAATTTTGCGTTGACCGTAAATTTGGATAAAAATCCAAGCGGGTCAAATACTGACATGACTATGCTTAATAACTCTAATTTTGACGGTCGTTTGTGTTCACTGAAGAATTCAGGCTCCACATTGTTAAATTTGAGTGTGTAACTAAATACGTCGGTACTTGGTTGCCAATACATTCCAAGCACATGTTCTACTGCTAATGTGACTAGGCTGTTTGTCAGCTGTTCCGGTTTATAACCATTTAGGGCGATTTGGCTTCCAAGGAATTTGAATAAAAGCTGCGTAGTTCAAACCCGGCATTCTTGTGAATACGTCTGACTTCATTGGCAATTTTAATGGCTTCTTTAACGTTGTCGAAACTATCCACGAAGTCATCAACATAGTGATGCTTTGTGATAGAGTCGTAGGCCTTGGACAACTTTCGCGGTGCTCAAGTGCGTTAATGTTTTTAGCATACATATTTTAAAATTCGAGTAATTGTATGATGCAGTTGACTGTGCAAAGGCGGCGGTGAACATAGGCCAGTCTTCTGCGCGTCCGTCGAAGTCTGGCAAATCTTGAATTTTTCTCGGTAGTGTAAACAGATATGAACTGTCTGGTGTAACGTTAACAAATGGCTGCGACTGTAATAAAGTTGAAGACATAGTACCTATCGCAGAGGCGGTGGCTGTGAAGATCGGCGATGTAGTACCTTATATACATATATATATTATAAGGGCACTGAGCATACGTATGCGTGGCGGCTGTATACGTTGACGTAAGCTGCACAGAAGTGTTCGAACTATTATGCGAGTTCGTTGTTGTCTGCGTTGAGACTGCTATCGGTTGTATAGCGGTATCTACAACGGGATCCACAGAGATCGCAATGGAATTTGACCTTGATCGGTCCTTTACGCAACGAGCATTTGTTGTTGACTTTCTTCTGTAACTAAGGCTGTCTTGTTATTGAATTCGCATACTCTTTCTAGTGAAGTTTTCCATTGCTTTAATACGGCGGCTTGAAGGAAAATGTTACGGAAAAATATGATCGGCACTTTGGCAATATAAACGTTATAATGTTAGCGATGGCAATGCGGTGGCAATGTAGTACCTATGATAAAGGTGGGAAGGTGTCCCGTTTGGCGATATAACGGCTACGACGTTGGCGGCAAATAGCGGGATGGCTTCCCGTTTGGCGATGTAATGGTTACGACGTGGCGGCAAATCGCGGGATGGCGTCCCGTTTGGCAATGTAACGGCTACGACGTTGGCGGCAAATAGGGGGATGGCTTCCCGTTTGGCCACGTAACGACGCTTCCCTTTGGCAATAGACACGTTATCAAGTTGTGTCGCGATGGCATCTCGTAAGTAATAAGTTATCCAATAAAGCTTTATAATACAAGATATATATACAACTGGTTCGGAAGTGACGGCAATGCAAGAATTGAATGTTTGAACTCAATTTGGCGACAGTATAAATGAATGCATAGTCTTGCGTACTGAAGATCTCGCTAATTATAGGTCGGCAAAGTAAAGATACTGCCAAATAACGACCATGCGAAATAAAGATCTGCGATATAAAGAATTGCGAAATAAAGATGTCTCAATTCCGTTGGCTGGCGAATTTAATTGTGTTCATGCTCATATATGCACACATACATTTCGTACACGTGCATACGGTAACAAATACAAAAACAACAATTTATTTCTATAAAGAAAAGGTTATTACAAATATTCAATGATCTGAAAGATCAACTTACCGCAGTGTCTCGGCCTATCTCTTCGGTGTTTCGAAATTGAGTAAATTATAATCGGAGATCCAACAGTATGGACACCGAAACAACGAATTGCCTTATCACATGGCATCGCTCCATTTCGTCGTAATTTTTGGTAAACAAATGAGGTTCAAACGAGTGTAAAATGTTATTTTTAAAACATAGATTTTTTAGGTAAAAAACCTACTAAAAGGGTAAAACGTAGATTTATTTAAAAGTTTATAGTGTAATTTAATTAAATAGAAGCAAAAAATGTGGATAAACTATGTTTAATGTGGTGAAATAGCTCCTTGAAATATTCGAATTTTTGAACTTTAAGGTCGAATATCTCGTAAACTAAGCGTTTGCCGTACCTATAACCCCAAATATTTTTTAATCAGGAGGACTTCCTCTTTCCACCGGTACCTTCAAATTGCGGCGTCAAAGAAATCGGAATTGTGCCCCAAGCACAACACCATTTGAATTACGTATTTCTCCGATTTAAAATTAATTTTATGCTTTTATATTTCATTTTTATGTTCACTAATACTTCATTACATAGGGTTTAAAAATAGTTTTATATCAATATTAACCTTATTCAAATTTATTTAAGCTTGGGGCACAATTCCAATTTCTTTGGCGCCGCGATTTGAAGGTACCGTTGGGAAAAGGAAGTCCTCCTGATTAAAAAATCCTGAAGAAGAAACTTTTGTTGATGTGGTAGTACCACTGGAACCAGTTGAAGGAAACTTCAGTGAAACAGCAGCAGATCATCGCCGAAGAAAAATTACGAATCCATTGTCATAGTTTAGTTGAATCCCTAAAATATATGTAAGATATATGTATGTACATGTATGTAACATAACTACAATAAAATAACTGAAATTAATTTTGAATATGCAGAAAAAACGTTTTTTTATTTTGAGTATTTAAGTTTTTTAATTCCAATTATTTTAGTTTTATTTCAATTTTTTCTTTATGTTGCCTATTTTTTTCAATATTTTCTTCCTTCTTTCTTTCTTCTTTCATTTTATAAAGCGCCAATTTTTCTTTTTTTCACTTCGTAAATTTTTCTGTTGTGTCTAGATGAATGTTTTTCATGATACCAACAAGGCTTTCTTGCGTGTCCGCTTGCTTTTCCAAAGCCTACATACGCAAATTTTCGCGCTCCTCCACGCTTGTAGATGCCTGCCTAGTCGAAATGCTAATATTTGCAGCCTGTTCAGGCTGAACCTCGACATCTTCCAGATGTTCCTCTTCTACATATGCAGGTGTAGGTGCAGGTGCAGGTGTAGGTGCAGTGCTTCCAAAGGCGACTCCGCTTGGATTCACTGCCTGCTGCAAACTGAGCAACTCGTCCACGGCCTGCTCCAAAGGCGTTAGACTGCGTTGGGTGTATGGTCCTCCACGTGTGGCTGCAATCTCTTTACGGTTATCTGCAATTTTCCGTTTTAGTTTTAGCTTGTAGTCCAACCAAACCTAAGAAATACACAAATTAATACAGATATGTACATATATGCAATCAAAATTGTTTATTCTTACCTTATTCCATTCGCTGCCACTACGTATTGGAGGCCCGACATTGTTCAATTCTGAAGCAATACCCTCCCACAACTTCATTCTATTCTTTTTTGTAGGGCCAAACGGTGCAAATCCTCTGGCTAAGTCCGGATTTCTTTCCATCAATTGCACCATTAGTCTCAAATTGCCTTTGAGTTGTTCGTTTTATTCTAAAAATAAATAAATTTGTAATTAATGAAATACAATAAATAAATTTTCAAAATTTTACTAACGTTTTCTCCATTTTCAATTAGTAGTCGAATAGAATAAACGTTCGCCAAATTTTGACAGCTACGGCGAAGCGAATTTTATAAATT